ACACAGAGGACAGTGAATGTTAATCCTCACTAATAGTTCAATCAATAACCCCATCTGAAGATGAATCTGGTAAGCTTCTGCTGATACAGCCTCCGCTATGTTCCCTCTTTTATGTTCCCTCGCAGCAACTGGTCACTGGGGACCTGAACTGCTGCTGAATACCAACACTTAGAGGCCATGATGAAGAGACTTTTCAACTCTACAGAAATGGGCAATCATCACTTAAGCAATCACCTAAGTAGCTATGATGTCAGCACAGCCAGTAAAGCAGGAAGGTAAAGAATGCTAATCGCAGTGCAATGTTCAGAGAAATAAATGATAGACTAGAAATGATCCGAAATAAATCACGGCATTAAGAAGAGGAAACCACTCCTACTGCATGTGAACATACAGGGATGTGATCTGGATCATCTTTGGTCATTTGCAGGAAGCGTTCAGGCCGAGCTGATGAATGCTCTGGACCCTAAGGACAAATCAAGACAAACAATAAATACGCACAAAATACATGATGAATTGTGACAAATAACCCAGCAGTGTCCAAATTCTAACATGATCTCACCATTCCTTCCATTCCATGTGGCAGCAGTAGGACAATGCCATTATTGCGAACCCACTTGGCCTGTCCTGAGCTAATAAACTGGTCAATGATACACTGGGCTGTATTGTGAAAGTCTCCAAACTGGGCCTCCCAGAGGATCAAAGCATTTGGGTTAGCCATGGCAAAGCCAAGCTCAAAACCTGAAGTCATAGACATGATTATTCAGAACAACCAAATATCCTCAGCATGATATTCAGCTGCTTAGTCTAGTCTTACCTACAACTCCATACTCTGATAAGGAGCTGTTGCAGACAGTGTAAGATGCCTGGTTCTCCCACAGGTGGTTCATGGGAACACAGATACGTTTGTCAACCTCTTGGTCATGTAGAACATGATGACGGTGACTACAAAACAGAAGATGTGAAACTGAGCCAGGACGGTAAGGACTCAAACAGAAAACAAGATTAGAAGACACCCTCTGAAGCAGTCCATTCACCAGCTGTGCTTTCAGTTAAAGACTGAAATCAACATGCTAACAAGCTGGGCTAGTTTTTAGAATGATAGCATTACAGTGTTCACCTTGTTTCCCTTAGTTTAGCATGCTAACATTATTAATTATAAGGAAAAGTCACCCATTTAGCAGTTATGGGGATTTTTACTCAGGACCAAAGGGAGTGAGAGACTAACAAAAAAGCAAATAAATACAGAAAACAGATCCATGCCGCCAGCTTGACTAAAAACACCACTGCTGCACCGAGTTAGGCACTTCTGTGTGAAACATAAAAACATTTACATTTAAATAATAAATTAATGAAACAATGTTTTTTCTAACTGAGTATCTCACACTGCTAAAATGAATGCATAAATTTAAGAGGCTATGGCCCATATATATATTTTTTAAAAGTAATAGTAACATATATTTTTAATTGGTGATTAATATTGCTTTTATCTGTAAAGCAAAATTATTAACTTGTTTAGTATCTACAAAAGGAAGAATGAAAATGAAATGACAATTTGCAAGAACATATAGAAATGTGATTTAAATGACCTTGAAAAGGGTTTTCGGTGCCAGATAGGTTACTCCTTCAAGCTGATAGGGAGATAAGGGCAACTTATCAAATAACCACTTGGTACAATCAATGGCATGCAGAAGAGCATCTCTGAATTCAAAACACATACAGCAGCAGAAGACCACACCAAGTGGCACTCCCGCCAGCTAAGAACAGGAAACTGAGGTATTCTCGTACACGGACTCACCAACACTGGACAATAGAAGACTGGAAAAATGTTGCTGGGTCTGATGAGTTATAATTTCTACTGTAACATTTGGATGGCAGGCTCAGAAACTGGCATAAAGAAGCATGGTTCCACCCTGCCTTGTATCAACAGTTCAGGCTGTTGCTGATGGTGGTGTAATGGTGTGGGGGATATTTTTGGGGGGTACACTTTAAGGGTCCTTAGAACCAACTGAGAATTACTCCACGGTGACCAGATCTGCAGTAAATGTGAGACTCCATCATGTCAATATGGCTCAAAATCTGCAAGGAATATTTCCAGCACTCTGTTGAACCTATAACATGAAGAATTAAGGCTGTTCTGAAGACCAAAAGAGGTTCAAGGGAGCCCAACTGCTAATAGCAGGTAGTGCCAAGTAAGTTTATGCTGTCTTTAGTGATTGTGGTGAAAACAGCACTCTTCCAAGGAAATGTTCAAAGGTCTTTAATCCAGGAGATGCACTGCAAGCATTGAAGCCTGTGTTCCTAGCTCATAAAGGCACTTTCCTCTCTAGCGATCTTCTGTCAGTATGAAGCTCAACAAGAGTGGATGTGAGCAAAGACCCAAATCTTAACAAGTTTTGCCAGTCCGCTCAGCCCCACTAAGGAATCATCCTTCAAATCCAGCACGCTCAGACAGTCACTTAGACCCCTTTAAGATCACTTTCATGACATCTACACACA